GAGTTGACTCGATGGCACATAACAACAACAAGTGGGGAGCTGTGCTGCTCACCCAAAGGCTGTGTCTCTCTGATGGTTCAAAACCACCAGGGTCTTCATGGGAGAAGGGGGCCAATCTCCTCTCATGGGTTTCGCAGACGCAGAAAACTGAAGGTCAGCTATGAGTGAGTCAGTTTCAGGGGCAAGGAGTTGTTGAGTGAATAGTAGTGGTAAGGGCACTCAGCACAATGTCTTTATAGCATAATTGAGTTTGAGTTCAGTTACTCAACTGATCTTCCCTTGACACCCTTTAATATACCTTCCACCGCAATCTGGGTTAACCGAGAGGACTGTGAGCACCCCAGAGTAAAGGGCAACAGGAAAGGGAGAGGTCTAGAACTCGGCCTTAGATATTGACACACTTGGCAGAAACAGAAGGTGAGAGAGCAAGGGAGAGGAATAGTGGGTGAGGCAGTTAAGCCAAAGTGCAGCCTGTTCGCTTAGCCAACACAGACTGTGAAAAAGAGAACTCTGGGAAGGTGGAGTCGACGTGCAAACCTCGAGCTCACTTGATGCAACTGACCATACACTGGCTGGCAGGAAAGAGCAGGTTGGACAAAGAAGAATAACACTTAAATCAACATTTTGGATGATGCTGTAGAGTCCTGAATGTGCATTTTCCTGACAAATACAAGTAACAGTTTTTAAGCTACACCTAGGAGTATTATTTTACCCCTTGGAGAGATCAAATTTGAACTATTAGTCTTCTTTACTCCTTACCTTCCCATTCCTGTTTAAAAGTTAGGCAAGATTTTGGCCATCTTGCTATGGGTTTAAATGCATTCTTCAATCTAAATATTCTTTACTAAAACTGTGCTGCAATCCCAAAGGCTCGCAGTTCAAGTCCACCAGCCGCTCTATGGGAGAAAGATGAACAATCTCCTTCTGTGAAGTTAACAACTTCTGAAAACTTGCTGGAGGGTCAATTATGGGTCAGTTCTGACTTGATGGTACACAACAACAACACTCCCAGATCTGTCAGCCCTTTTCCTCCCCTTCTTTTCTTTAATAAACTTTTCCACAAATGTCTAATTTTCTTTAATAAAATTTCCTCAGTGCAGTTACTGATAGGCTCCAAATCTCCATAACATTTTCCTACCATCATATGGGGAAATATGAAGATCAGAGGAAGACCTTCAACGAGGTGGGCTGACATCGTGGCTCTAGTGATGGTCTCAAGCATAGAGGTTGAGGCAGGACAAGCCAAGGCTCAGACCCTGTTGTTCGCTGGATCACTGTAAGCCATAGTTGATGGCATCTAACAATAATGCAACACTTGGAAGTTTGAAGCTCTCTCTAAAATCTCTCCTGCGTCTGCGGTTTGCTCGGCCTTAGCCAGATGATTCTTTTTGCTCCATGTGGCATGATAAGAAAATTTACAATGAGAAGAAGAAAACTCCTTAGTCCCAGAAAAACTGTTGCAGCCAATACAGCTCTTGTTGGTAGGTGCTACAGATTTTGACTCACAGAGACCCTACGCATACAATAGAATGAAATACTGACTCATAGAGACCCTGGGTACACTAGAACAAAATACTGTCGGGCCTTGTGTCCATCCTCTCTACCTTTGCTATGTTTGTGTCAGGTTTTTTAGTTGCTGTGTCTACCCACCCCGATGAAGTTCTCTCTCTCATCTCCTGACCATCTAATTTTTTTTGTTTGTTTTCATGGTGTACTCTTCCAGGGACTCTATTAATATATCCCCAAGTACCTCAGATGAAGCTTCCCTCTCCTGGCTTCCAGGAAGCATTGAGTCTTTGAAAAAAGATAGCATGCTGGGAAAAGTAAACAAAAGGTCAGAGAAGGAGAAGAAGACCCTCAAGAAAATGGATTGACACCCACCGGGACTCCAACAATGGCCTTGAGCCCTTTCATGAGGACGGCACAGTGTAAGACAAGGTTTTGATGAGGTACACATAGGTTTGTTGTGAATGGTAGTCAGGTCAACACCTAACAACAACAGCAATCTGGTAGGGTCTTCAGGTGAGAGCTCTGCTGGGACTGGAGCATGTCAGATGGCATTTTGTCACAGCTTGTGTGGCTGGGATAGTTTGGGGCTAGTTCACCCGCTCGCTCGCTCTTTCTCTCTCTCTCACTCTCGCTCTCTCTCTCCATAGCTCATCATTGTATAGTTGAGCTCCAGTTTCTGTGCATCACAACTGAAACCAAGACTGTGAATATGGAAGTTGTAACAAATGACATGTGGATGTTACAGAGCACTGCTGTCAGCCCAACAATGTGTTGGCCAAAGCAAGTCTCAGGACCAGTCTGGGTTCAAGGAGAGAAATAGAGTCCACCTTTTGATGGTAACAGTGGCATGTAATGCTTGCCATTATTGGTGAACATATCTGCAAACATCACATACAGAAAAAAAAGCGCCAAATAGAATACTGTGTTTGATAGTAAATCCAATTAGGACTATGAAATGGCTCTTAGATTGTGTATTCAGCAGGACTGTGAAATCTTTATGTGATGAGTAGCATAGCATATAGTTTTATATAAAACTCTGGTGCAAATGAAGGCAGAATCAATATTCTTTTCAAGTACATAAAAGAAGTTAGCCCTGGCCTGGAATGCTACTTCTGCCAGGTACTAGCAAGAGGATCCTGTGCAAAGTTCCCTCCCAGCTTCACCCTTTCCTCTTCTATGTTTACAGGACTATGGAGGGATTAAGTGAATCAATATGTAAGACATGTTCAGAAAAGTGGCTAGAACACTGCAAGTACTCAAAGACATTGACATTTCATTTTTAAAAATAGATTTTCCTTAGCTATTACTATCTAACATAGAAACACCTGTTTGGATTAAAGCTCCCGGAACTACAAAATTCTCTGGAGTCTGCTTAATCATAATCATGAATCCCGGCTGCTTCCTGGAACCACCCTCACCAAGTGAAATCGTAGAAGGATTAGCTTTATTCTTTCATAGTTGAGACAACCAGCTGTTCTAATGTAAGGAATTATCAATTAAAAAACTGCAATCCATATAAAAATATCATTTACATTGCAATCCATGACATACCATGATAGTTAGCCACACACGATACACTCCCATATGTCTCATGAAACACTACTCACCCTTATACTGTCCTGTAAACTCTAGCTGGTTTGTTGTTTTTTTATATTTCAGTTAATAATAATCAAATGCTGATTTGACACACTAAATGAATTTAATTACCTTTAAATTCCACACCAAACAGAGTTCTATGCCATTTATTATGGCAAATCTAAAATAAGACATTAAACACAAAAGACTTTGAGGCCAGGAATTGCAAAACTTGCCTTTGTTTAAGCTGCGGTGCTGTAAGAATATAGCATATGTAATTTTATGTCGGAGATCTCTCCAGAGCCCTAAAAAGCAATGATGTCAGTCTAGAGACTAAAGTGCACCTGATCCATTGATCTTTGTAATTATTTGCTACACACCACGAGCTGGACAATGACTAAGGATGACAGAAGAAGAGTTGATGCCTTTGAGGTGTGGTGCTGGAGTATTGAGCATACACCTGACTGCCAAGAGAACAGGTTGGTCCTGGAAGTGTGAAACCAGGTTGCTTATTAGAGGCAAGGATTTTGAAGCTCTGTCTCATGTACTTTGGGCATGTTGTCAAGAGAGACAAGTCCTCAAAAAAAAAAAAAAAAAAAAGAGAGACAAGTCCTTGGAGAAGGACATCATGCTTGAAAGGATGGAGGGACAGTGCCAGACAGACAGACCCTGATGAGCTGGATTGCCATTATAGTAATTATATAATAATAAGGGTAGGTGTGTCGGGGACAGTGAGATTGGCTCAGGAGAGGGAAGTCTTATTTAACTACTTGAAATAAGAGTCTCCCAAAGCCCCAATCGACTGTTATGAAAAATTTGACAAATTTTGGATCTTAATTGTGTATGAGTGTGTGTGTGTGTGTGTGTGTGTGTGTGTGTGTGTAGTTGATCTATGCAGGGGGAAGGTGTAATTGTGTGTGTGTAGAGGAAGAATGTAACACTGCATGTGTGTGTGACATGTATAGGTGAGGGTGTGACTGTTAGGGACACGTGCAGGTGAGGATGGGAGTGTGTGTGCGTGCAGGGGGCATGCTCAGGTGAGGGTGTG